ACACACAAACAAAAAAACTAACTTCCCCCCCGTTTTTTTTCGGAGGCCCTGCACGGCCTCAAATTTTTGTTTTTATTTTTTTGTGGTTTATGACGCGACATCCCACTCAGGCCTGAAACACCCCTCCCCAACTTTTTTTTTTTTTTTCTCGACCTCTTCTTTTCGGGGTGCGCCACACCTCGTGCGCTGTGCGCAGTGCGGCGCGTGTGCGCGGTGCAGCGCACGTCAATGCGCCGCAAGTATGGTATATTCATTGTAATCTGCATGACTTGCCAGTGAAAAAGGAACCAGACTAATGGACATGGAGCCAGAACCATAAGGTTCTTCATTAGCAGAGGAACCTGCTGCTGGTGAGGGTTTGGAATGCCACTCTACAGGCGAAGTCATTGCATGCAAAACAGGGCTTGACAGATCAAGAGTCAGTTCAACTCAATTGTACTTATTACTGACAGAATAGATGTTCGCAGAAGAAAAAAAAATCTCAAAGCCCATTTTCGATGGGGCAATGAGCCCAAGCTTCAAGCCAGCATCTCAAGTCACTCTGAGAAACACAGTTCGGAACATGAGAGTAAATCAAAGCACGCGATATGAGAACCCAAAATTGTTGGGAATCATCTCCACTGTCGACACTGGAGGGTTGTGGGTATGAACACCCTCTGCTCAACCTCAAGGACTTAGAGCGACTGTTGACACTGGCCACCGGCTGACATTCTGCAGGTCCACCTTCCTGTCTCAAATTCTGATTATGTAGCTTGACTGGGGTCTTGTGGGTCTGGCGGTTGGCTGGTCTGCATCCTGAGCCCTGAGGCTGCTGCCATTCATGTCCGCATCCTTGCCACTTACCACCCATACGCTCTTGAACTCAGTTCTGATTCTGTGTTGTGGGTCCGGATTTTCCGGCATAGAGAATACTGAATAGTATATATATTCAATAGTAATAATGTCATCAGGAGCTTTAATCTCGCGGAACAGATTACATCATCAGCGTAGCGCAATCACAAAACCTTCGCTCACAGTCCTTCCACTCTGTTGTTTCCGCTCAGACCGTGTTCGAACTCTCACTCGAAGTAGCTCTACTTATACCTTTTGCTAGCGAGGGAAGTACCCTTCGCGTTCCTCGAATAGGAGGAACAAAACAAAAAAACAAAAAAAAACAAAAAAAGTCGAATTGCAGAAAATAAAGATTTAGAGACGTCAACATCTGTGGTCCGAGGACCGACAAGAATGGCTCACCGCACAGGACCTTCGCACTCTCTTAAAAGGTTGCCACCTACTGACCACCAACCTGTCAGAAATCCTCCAAAGCATTCATCCCCCATGGACGACCCTCCTAATTTCCTAAAAGAGGCAAATATGTGGAAACCAGGAGACTGGAGACTACTCACCACACAGACCCCAGCAACAAGAGCCTACCGCTTCGTGTCAAAACCGGACTCAACTAACTACCAGGCCAAGTTTGTATCCTGCCCCATCAGCAAACACAGCATATATGAACTAGAGGTCCTAAACAAAACACCACAGAACGAACAAATAGAAAACTACCTTCTCAGGAAGGTTAGAGTCTCTCACAAGAAACCCTGGTTTATGTTCCAGCCAGAACTCACCATCAAGGCACAAATGGTTAACAGGTAACCTCACTTTTCACCCCTTGGGTAACCTTCACCAACATGAAAAGTGTAGTGGGGATCATGTTTTTTTGTTTTTTGTTTTTTTTGTTTTTTTCGCCTGTTTTGTTTTTGGTCAAGGTTTGTATGTGCCAAGTTTGGTGTTTGTAGGGTTCCTGGAGATGGTTGTTTTGGGCAGTGCTGAAAAGGTTTGTATGTGCCAAGTTTGGTGTTTGTTGGGTTCCTGGAGATGGTTGTTCTGGGCAGTGCTGAAAATTGTGAAAATCGCTGAATACGGACGCCGCCCGGCCGGGCGGGGCCCGGGCAGGTCGCCCGGGCAAACCGGGCGGGCCAAAAAACAGCCTAGAATTTTTTTTATTTTTTTTTTGAGGGCGGGGTCGTACTGTGCTCGGCGAGAGGACCCCGAATCTGCAATAAAATTTTGGT